TGAGCCACTCTAGAATTTCATTACTTTTTTAAAAGATTTATTTATTTATACATACAGAACTGGGGTACAGGTGAGAAGTTCAGGGGCGGTAGATTCTGGAGAGGATTCACCAGAGACAGAGTGGGGAGCAGAACAGGCAGATGGATGAAGTACACTGCTGAGGGGAGCAGCGGGTGGGCCAGGAGAGGTCTGCCACACCACGTGGTCACCTCCTGGGCAGGCGGAGATCGAACTCATGCAGAAGTGGCCTTAGCTTCCCAGTGCTGTGCCTTAACCCGCTGCGCCACCAAGGAGGGCCTCGCAGGGTTCTTTTTCAATACAAGGCCTTCTTTTTAAGATTTTACTGATTGGACCTCCCTGGTGGTGCAGTGGGTTAAAGTGGAGCTGGCCTTGGCTGCTTGGGTGTGAGTTCGGCTCTCCTATTTCACCCACGCCCTTATAGTGCACTTTGTCGATCTGCTTGTTCTACTCCCCACTCTGTTTCCGGTGAATCCTCTCACCACCCCTCCATCTCTGGCTTGTACCCCAGTCTGAATTCGACCAAGTGCCTAAAGAATTAACAATGATCCTTATAAAATTCTTCCTAAAAATAGAAGAGAAAGGAACATATTCTATATTATTATATGAGACTAATATTAGTTATTGGTATAAAAAAGCTAGAAAAGGCAACAGAAGAAAGAGACAGACTGATATTCCTTATGGACTTGATGCAAAATGCTTAAATACCAGCAAGCAGAATCCACCAACATATTAAATCATTATATTCTACAAGCAAGTGGATTATCACAGCTGTTGCTGTGATTAATTTAACATGAAAGCCAATCAATGTACAACAACATATTGCCAGAATAAATGAAAAAAAAAAGATCTATCATCACCTCAATAGATTTATGAAAGCCATTTGGTAAAATCCAGCATTCTCTCACGGTGAAAGATAACACTCAACAAACTAGGAATGGGAGGAAACTTTCTCACTGATGAGACATTTATAAAAACCCAAAGCTGGGCATTCCCTGGTGGCAGGGTTAAAGCACAGCACTAAGAAGCTAAAGCCACTTAAGCGTGAGTTCGATCCCCACCCCGGAGGTCATCCATATGGCACAGCAGGCCTCTCCTGACCCACCTGCTGCTCCCCTCAGCAGTGTACCTTGTCAATCTGCCTGTTCTGCCCCCCACTCTGTCTGGTGAATCCTCTCACAGCCCTGCATCATCTCTGGCCTGTATCTCAGTTCTGTATGCATAAATAATCTTAAAAAAAAAAACCCAAAGCTAACATACTTAGTAATAACAAACTGAAAACTCCTTAAATGATTATTCACACGCTATGAATGTACATTCTTGAGACTTCTATTTCACATTGTACTAGAAATTCTAACCAAGGCAATTAGGTGAGTAAAAGGAACTCAGATTGGAAAGGAAGATGTAGAGAAAGTTAGGTCTATGCTATCTCTTTCTGCATATACTATGGAAAATACACCTAAAAAATAAAAGTTAACACTAACCAAAACAGAGAGACACCACACTGATTGGGAGAAAATTTCGTACACAACACAAATGATAGGAGACTGATCACAAAGATCCAGAAAGAGCTGACAGAACTCAACATAAACAAACAGTCCAGTCAAAAAATGGGCAAAAGTGCTACCAAGATACTCCTCAAAAAAAAAAAAAAATGCAAGCAGCCAATAGGCATATGAAAAAATGCTCAACATCACTCATAATCAGGGAAATGCAAATCAAAACCATAATGCAATACTATCTCACACCAGTGATAATGGCACATTAAAAAAAAAAAGAGCATCAACAAGGATGTGGAGAAAAGGAACTTTACTGTACTGCTGGTGGGAGGTAAAATGCCCCAACTACTATGGAAAGAGATTTAGAGGTTCCTCAAACTGCTGAAAATGGAGCTTCCGTATGAACCAGCAATTCCACTCCTAGGTATCTACCCAAAGGACACAAAAACATTAATTCAAAAGAATACCTGCACCCCTATTTTCATTGCAGCACTATTTACAATAGATAAGTGATGGAAACAACCCAAATGCTTGAAAATGGATGACTGGATCAAGAAGATGTGGTATATATACACAATGGAATATTATTCAGTATCAAAAATGATAACTCATGCCATTTTTAGAAACATAGATGGAGCTGGAAGGGATCATGTTCAGTGAGATAAGCCAGAAAAAGAAAAAGAATAGCAAATCGTTTCACTGTTAGGAGGTATGTAGAGGATCCAAATGAAGGATCAGGTTTAAAAAAAAAAAGAAGAAAGTAAATATCAAAATCAACAGGCAATTTTAAACCAAAGATATTCTGCAGGAAGTGAGAGGGGGACGCATTGAAAATGGGTGAGAAGAGCACACAAGACTATGGTGATGGCACATGGGTGAATCAGTGGTGGGAATTTTATTGGGACTATAACCAGGATGAGAAAGCACATTGTACAAAAATAAAAAAAATTGCAAAAAATATACAAAATAAATTAAAAAATAAAAGACTGACCACATTTTCCATTAAAAAAAAATAAAAATTATCCCAAACTATTAGTACAAATTACTATAACTTTGCAATATACAATATCACTATACCAAAATTTGTTGTTCTAGTAATGAGCAATCTGAATGAAAATTAAGAAAGCAATTCCATTTATACACAACAAAAGATAAAATACCTAGAAGTAGAAAGAAATTAAAGATGACCTAAGTAAATGGAAAGATACTTTGTTTTATGGATTGAAAGACTTAATATGATTAAGATGCAGTCCCCTCCAAATTGATCTTACAGATTCAATGCATTCCCTACCAAAATTGACATACCTTCTTTTTTCCCCCCAGAAATAAACAAGGATCCTAAAATGGGTAGCAACATTAGAAGGTGAGTGTATATCCAAAACAATCTTGAATCTTCCCAATTTTAAAAGTTTTCAGTAGTGCCACAGTTATCAAAAACAGTGGGAGGCATATAGGTCAGTAGGATAGAATTTAATTTCAGAAATAAAACATCTGTCACCAACTGACTTTTGACACATGTGCCAAGACCATTTAATAGGTAAATGAACAGTCTTTTTTTAGCAAATAGGGCTGGAATAACTGAAAGCACATATGCAAAAATGAAGTCAGACCATTTTCTGATAGCATATGCAAAACATAAAATGAATCAGAGGGGGCCTCCCCCTCTGACACAAGGGGTTAAGTGAACACTATCAGGCCCACTGCAGCCTGAGTTTGATCCCCAGCCAGGGAGCTAACCCACAAGGTGCAGCAGACCTCTCTTATAATAACTAAAAATAAAGCTCTTTAAAAAAAAAATCAAGATCTAAATGTAAGAATTAAAAACTACAAAGATAGGCCCTCCCTGGTGGCGCAGCGGGTTAAAGCACAGCACTGAGAATCTAAAGCCGCTTCCGCATGAGTTCTATTCCCGCCTGCCCCGGAGGTGACCACATGGAGTAGCAGACCTCTCCTGGCCCGCCCGCTGCTCCCCTCAGCAGTGTACTTCGTCTATCTGCCTGTTCTGTTCCCCACTCTGTCTCTGGTGAAGCCTCTCGCTGCCCCTGAGCCTCTGGCCTGTACCCCAGTTCTGTATGCACAAATAAATAAATCTTTAAAAAAAAAATTTATGCATACAAGAACTGGAGGACAGACAAGAGGTGTTATGGGTAGAGGATTCATCAAAAACAGTGGG